ACTGGTACTGTCCCTTATTCTATGAATGCTAACGGTGAGATTGCGTTCAGTGGAATGCAACTCAGCCGACAAGGCTTCAGTGGTGCTCAAGTGCGCCAAGGATTTGATGCAACTCAAGCTCAAACTCCGCAAGCTGTGAAAACTGGATATTTTGATACGTCAAATGTCTTACGCGATGCTATCAAGGGAAAGGATGAGAATGGCAATGATGTCTATCTTATTCCATGTCCTGCTGGTACGACAAATGTTGAACTTCAAGCCAACTGGCACTATGCTAGTGAAGATGAAGATTTGCCTGATTTTGCTACTGAAGCAGATCGAGGTCTGCAGTTTATTCAAAGTCGCAGCAGAGAAAGAGATCTATTTGGATTGTACGATCATGTCATCATGGACAGTGGTTGCACAACCACCACCATTTGTAATGGCGAGCTCATGCATGGACTCTGTCATGCTGAGAAGGAGCTTAATAGTTCTCAACAAAGAAGATTTTCTAGGAAGATTTCCGCCTCCAGTCTATTATGATGAAGACGGAATTGCCAATGTACTTGCTATGCGCAAGATGATTGCTGCGGGATACCGCTTTACTATGGATACTGATGTTGACAATGCCTTTGTTGTACATTTGTATGATCATGTCATCATGGACAGTGGTTGTACAAACACCACCATTTGTAATGGTGAGCTTATGCATGGACTCCGTCATGCTGAGAAAGAACTTGACATGCACACTAACGTGGGTAGCAGAGTTCTCGACAAAGAAGGTTTTCTAGGAATATTTCCACCTCCAGTTTATCACGATGAAGGTGGAATTGCCAATGCACTTGCTATGCGCGAGATGATTGCTGCGGGATACCGCATTACTATGGATACTGATGCTGACAATGCTTTTATTGTGCATTGTGATGGAAACCGAAAGATGCAATCTGTGAATCATAAGGGTGTGTATGTGTTGGAGCAACTTGGAGCGAATGTCAAAAGGCAAGTCAAGTCAACAAGACCAACTCCGAAGAAGAAGTACGACGACTTTTTCAGTCCACCAGAGGAATTATATCAGCACAATCGATCTATTACCGTCTGTATTGATCACACGGAGATTGAGAATGCTAAGTTTCTCACCTGCATTGATACCACTGTGCGTTATCACTCATGTATTCCTGTGCAGAACCTGAAGACTGACCCTGTATTTGAAGCATTGGATAAGATATTCCGCCGCTACAACAAGGCAGGCTTTCAAGTCAAGATCATCAAGTGTGATCGGGCGTTCATTCCTCTCACGGATGATATGCTAGACAATATGGGTGTTATTATTGACCCGACTGCAGCTGGAGACCACGAGCCTATTGCTGAGCAAAACAATAGGACGCTGAAAGAAAGAGTCAGAGTTGCTCTGCCACGATTACCCTACAAAGTGGTTCCAAAAGTGATCACTGAATGTCTTGGACGTCAAGCCGCCAAGCTATTGAATGTCTTTCCCGAGAAAGACAGTATCTCATCACATTTCAGTCCGCAGCAACTCATTGATAATGTCAATATCAACTACAAGAGTGACATGGTTGCTGAGCTTGGACAATATGTTCATGCAATTGGGACGGATTCCAACAATTCAATGGAACCCAGAAGTATCGAAGTGATTTACATTGAACCTACAAAGGGACAACGTACTGGGCACCAAGTGCTCAACCTCAATACTAAGAAGATGATTTCCCGACCCAAGGTCGTTGTACTACCCGTTACCGACCAAGTAATCCAGCGTGTTGAAGCTTGGGCTGCTGCCGAAGGTGTTACTTCCATGAAATAACTTTGATAAGAAGAGAGATTTGGAGACATTTCAAGATGGGGATCAAATCGCAGGAGTGGATGACACGGACCAAGGTTACTTAGAAGAAGCCTTTGATCAGGAATATGAACCTGAAAATGAAAATGAACGTGATTTCAATCTACATGGACAATTCAATGATATCGATGACTCCAAAAGAGAAGAGCTCTTGGCAGATGCAGACAATGATGTCGATGACATGCCAGAACTCACTGTCAGATTCCAAGGAGATGATGACTATGAATCAGACGACAATTTGGGTGATGAAGGCGACGAAGAGGAAGAACCTATTGTGGCCAATTTCGATCAACATCAAGAAAATGTCGATAGAGGAACCCATGATATTCGGAGCCTTGTTACTGATCTGGAGGACCTACAAGAGCCGCCAGAAGAAGAGATTGTATTTGAGTCTGAAGAGCCTCAAGTAGCAAAAGTCACTCGATCTGGGCAAACGTATGTGCAAGCTATAATGTCAGGGCTGAACCTTTCTCAGGATCCAAAGAAACCAAGAGAATGGCCTTTGAGCAGGAGTGGCAGTTCTGCCAATAAGAACAAGAATCGAGTTGCGACAAGACGCAAGCATTGAGAAAGAGAATTGAAACCGTTGAAGAACAAGTTAAAATCTGGTATTTGTACCAAAGAAGGAAGTCGCAGTACTAAAGACAGTAAAGCTATCCTTGAAGCAAAGCACAATCTATGTTTCCAACAGATTGGGAATGAGATGAAAGCTGATTATGAAGAGCACGACGCTATTCTGATCGCTTGTTGCATGATGCAGATCAAGGCCAAGTTTGATACTGATGAAGGTCTGAACTTCATTCAACAGTATTACATCAATCAAGGACTGAAGAAGTTTGGTGATGATGGAAAGGATGCTGTGGATAAGGAATTGAGACAAATGCTCCTGAGAGATTGTTTTACTCCCAAATTTGTTAAAGACATGACCGCGTCTGAGCGAAAGAAGGCCCAATCAGCGATGATGATACTTGCGGAAAAGCAATTCGAAAAGAAAATTAAGGTCGCCTAGTATACCGAGGCGATGGAACTTGTGAATGGTTATCGCGAGAGGACACTGCAAGTCCAACTGCTTCACAAGAAGCAATCGCCACTACTTGTGTTATTGATGCACACGAAGGTAGAGATGTAATGACGATGGATATAATGATGATGGACGTGTCTAACGCTTTCATTCAAACTTATATGCCTGAAGCTAAGGAAGGAGAAGATCGCTTCCACATGAAAATCACTGGCATGATGGTCCAGATATCGATTGACATGGCCCCAGAGTATTGCAAATACGTTGTATTAGAGAACAGAAAGCGAGTAGTCGATGTGTGGGTACTACGTGCTATATATGGGATGTTACAATCAAGCCTCCTATTCTATAATCAGTTTTAAAGTGATTTGGAGGCAAAGGGATTTGTTTTCAATCCGTATGACCAGTGTGTTGCTAACAAAGTTGTTAATGAAAAACAGCAAACTATCAGATTTCATGTTGACGATCTTATGTCAAGTCACAAGGATCCAAAAGTAAATGACAAATTTGCTGAGTGGTTGAACATGAGATATGGTTCAATCCAGGCACGTAAATTGTCAGAGGAAAGATACACAGATATCTTGGAATGACTTTGGATTTCTCGGTGAAAGGAAAACTCAAGATCCGCATGGACGACTTTGTCAAGAACATGTTGGAAGATTTTCCTATCAAGTTCAACAAGGATTCAAAGCAGGAAACACCAGCTGGTAAGGATTTACTGGAAGCTGGTAAAGGGAAGTTACTCAGTGCTGAGTACCGTCAAATCTTTCATACTACTGTTGCAAGGGGACTTTATGTCTCTAAGAGAGCTCGTTTGGATATCCATCCAACGATTACTATTCTTGCCTCGAGAGTTCAAGAACCTACAGAGTCTGATTGGAAGAAGTGTGTTCGCATGATGCGATATTTGTTTTGTACATTGTTGTATCACCTGACACTTTCCGCAGAATCACTACGAGTCATGAAATGGATGATCGACGCATCATTTGCGGTGCATCCAGATTTCAAGAGCCATACTGGCGGCACTCTTTCCTTTGGAGGAGGTGCAGCTCAAGTGATGTCAAAGAAGCAAAAGCTAAACAGCTTAAGCAGTATGGAAGCGGAACTGATTGTTGTTGGCGATGTTTTCACGATGACACTATGGACGAAGTTGTTCATGGGGTGGCAAGGGTATCCGATCGAGAAAAATATCTTGTATCAGGATAATAAGAGCGCGATTCTACTGGAAGAGAATGGTCGCAAGAGCGCGGGCAAAAGAAGCCAAGCTATCAATATTTGATATTTCTTTATCACAGATCAAGTTGAGAAAGGAAATGTTAAGGTTGTTCTGCTTTCGGATCATGTTCGCCTCTGCTGGCGTAATTCATATGAACTTCAAGTTTGTCTTTCACGGGCTCAAATACTGGACGGAACTCCCCGTCAAAGTAAATCTTTTCCACTATGAAATCACGTGCATTATGTAGTCGAAAGCATTTATCGATTGCGTCATACAATGCCGTTTTGGATCGTGAAGCCAAGGGTATGCAGCACCGGTATCTCACACTTCCATCAATGGTCGTGAGTCAAAATGAATTGTTAACAAAAACAAGATCAATGTGCAGCACAACACTCAGATTGTGCATTAATAACTCCTTTGGTATTTCTATCCAGTCATCCCGCACTCCTTCAGATGTGGGACGCTTCGTCTTTCCTTTTAGGACCAAAGAACCAGGTCCATATATCTTTTCAGCAATGATTGCATTTTCTTCATTCACATTGCAGTTCTTGAACAAACCAGATCTTACTGCAATACGAAGCGCTTGCACGCCTGGTGCACCAGCTATATGATACACTGATTGTGCGCGATTAGCCCGCTCAACTTGTTTGTCAGTGAACCCTTTGATATTCTCGCGTACCGTCTGTATGCCACAATAATCGGAATCGGAATAGCTAAATTTTAAAATTCTACCACAGAAAATAACACCACGTTTATGGCATTCAGTGTGTGCGACACCAATTGCGTCGCAGTCACAATTTCCGCATTCTCTGTATTCACATTCAGAGTATTTGGATCCTTCATCACTCTCTGCTTTCATTGGGCACAAAAGTATACAATCCGTTTCAATGCACATACCTCATTTGTTGTCCCCCCTTTGTAACGATGAAGGAGTTTTCAATATCAGTGTCCATAACAACACGGAATCCAAGCTTCACAAGCTCAGATAAACTATTGAGGTTACATTGCGCTTCAGTATCAAGCAAGCAAGCAAGTGTGTCCTTCGATATTACTTGATACGACCTGCTGATGCAGATCACGTTGGCCAGTGTTCGTACCGTAGTTGAACATGTAATCCAGGTCAGACACAGTGCCAGGTTTGGCGTAATCTTTGTTCATTCGTAGGCTGAACGTAGATCCAGAATC